GTTTGCGTGCGTTTGAGCGCGTGCGTGTGATCCACAATGATTGTTTGACTCAGGTTGTACCTTATTAAGTTTTATGTAACAGGGAGGAAAGTGTTTTTCTTTCTAACAGTTGCTCTAACTTCACACCAGAGAGAATATATTACTAACTCTAGGCTAAAAATGTCACAGTATGAAGCATTGCTCTATTGGTGGGTCGGGACCCAAAAGTGGGTCGCAGAGCCGTTTTCAATGGGTCGTGAATAAGAGGTGTCTAAAAGTCTGTGAATCACTTTTTTCCATTTCTGTTATAAAACTTAACAGCAGTAATGACAGAGCTGTTCAGTTGTGCAGAAAGGTGCAGTGTGATGTTTGGTGAAAATGTCTATCCTACAGTATAGAATTAAAACAGTGGCAGAATAAACAGAGGTAAAGTCCAGTGTGCTTAAGGCCCTGTGTCCACCAGCGTCTTTTTTGTGTTCAATTAACAGAGAGTGTTTGCAGGAGGCGGCGAAGCACTTCGATTTGAATACTTCCAACTTTCAGAAAATGCGTTGTTAACATCGGCCCTCTTTTGTCTCCTACCGATCATGAGAGCAACGATGCAGTGTCAATCATACAGCGGGCATTGACAACAGACTACTGTCATAGAGACCAGACCGACGTGCAGCAGTTTATTCTAACCGCACAAACGTTTCATGCGCACAGCAGGCGCTTTTCTGCCCGGGAAAAACTCCAGGTGGACACCTGACCTAAGTTATGCATAAGAGAGAGGGTACAACTTCAAAACAATATATTTGTACCAATTTCATAGACGAAAGATAGCAGAATTCTCGATACATACAATGTGCTAATTAAATATTCAGCTAATTTCTTTCTCAGTAAAAACTGTACAGGGGTTGAATTCATTAGTTTTGCATAAATGTCACATAAATAGGGGCGTGGCAGAGTTGACTGACAGGTGGGCAAATTGTAGCTCTTTGCAATGACGCTAGAGACCCACCTCAAGTCAGGCACAAAACTGCTGAAAGTTTCCTAAATGGCGTAACATTTTTAGGGTGAGCTGTATTTGTGAATGTCCTGGTAAAGACCTGACTCGCCCCCTGGTAAAATTTCTGCCTGAATTTAGGTTAAGCTGATGTGAGACCATAACAGAGAGCGAGCAGGCGGTGGGTTATGACTTCAATATCCTGGCACTGAAGTGCAACTGGTGCGATCGTTGTGCATGTAATGAAACCGCTTCATACTTTGATACTTCAAACTATAAAAACTCTGATTTAGTGTGGGACTCTGCTGCTATGTAAGCCATCTTTTTTACATTGTGTCTTGCCTCCTGAGACACCCCCAATCTGTCCGACAGGGACGTTTTCAGGAGTGCTTGTGTGAAACAGCTTAAGTCTGTTAATAGATTGACTGAGAGTTAGGTTGAGATATAATTTCCAACCTGTCTGCCATCATTTATGTGCTTCAGGAACCAGTGGGTGACCTCACAGAGACTACGTCCATGTTTCATACAGTTTATGGTTTACAGTGAGTTGGTGCAGCAGTATTGTGAGCTGCAGTTCTACACTTGAACTTCCCTTCACCCCCCACCCCCTGCTGTATCACACCTGAACAGCAGAATCCTGTTGAACACATTCACACAGTGATGAGAAAAACTCACCAGCTACAACAAGAGCAGCTGGAAACCCACTCACCCTAAACAGGCATCACCCGCTGCTCTCTGCCTGATCACGCCCAGTATCTATTGATTCATTTATTTATTTAGGTCAGAGCACATTAATCAACATTTTAACAACATGCATCTATGTAAATATGATGGACAATAGCACAAAAGCTCAATTTCATCTATAGTCCTAAGGCAAGTACCAACAAAAAAACAGATTTACATTAACAGGGCCGTATAGGACACACACTCACAGACAGTTTGACACACAAAATGGAAAACAAATTTAGATGAGAAGATATATCAGACACACTTACAATTAGCTAGTTAATAATGCATGAGAAGCCCTCGGGGATGGGCACCAGAAGAGAGGACAGATTTTATATATGTATACATGACAGGTTTGTTTTTCACCAATGTTTGAATTTTTTTTAAGTTAAGTAGTTGTCACAGTCTCTTACGTGCTGGTAATATGTTCCAGGAATGTGTGCCTCTGACCCGTTTCCCGGTGTTTTAGGTGCATAAACAGAAATAGTTTAAATGATTAAAGCAGGCACACGTCACTCTGCCTGCTGGGAAACAGTTAAATAAGTATAAAACGTTTTGTTAAAATGTGTAAAATATATTTAAGAGTGTAACTGAAGTGCTCTAAAGTTGGTGCAGGAACATAAAAAATAACGGGGATGTGCAAAGTTTCAGTCCTAAATAAAGGCATAATAGGAAACAATGTTTTGATCAGTAAAATATGATCTGACATCTTGGATGCAAGGCTAGAATAAAGCAGGAGAAGCGGGTTTGGGGTCAGTTAGGGCTTCATTTTGACCCCAGGCCCCACAGCGGGTTAACCTAGGTTGTGTTGTTTGCATTCAATAGTTTTTAAAGGTGATAAAAAATGTGTGAATACAACAACGTACAGGGCTCAGGTCCAAAAATAATTAAAGGGATAGTTACATTTTCTGAGTGGGGTTGTATGTGGTTCTTGTTAGTTGTAGGTGTGTTAGCCTCAGGAGATGTTGGTCAGCTGGTGGAGCCGGCACAGAAGTTATGGCTATAAATGGTTCCATACAGGGCCAGGTGTACAACGTGGTTTCGCTAAATAAATAAAAACGACCTCAAAATCAATGACAATGTGGGTGTATACTATATTGTGTCTATGCTTCACTTAAGTGTCATCTCGCCACTTTGATCGAGCCCTTCTTTGTGATACACCATTTAGGGTTCTCCCCGCCTGCAGTGCACTTGGCCCATGGAGTCCCCCATAGAGTGCCTTGAATTTGACCTAGTAGAACACAAGTTATTTTGGGAATTTTTATATTACTGCTGCCCCAGTTGAAGATTATATTAAGCACCAGATGTTTAAAGATCATCCGGCTGATATAGCAGAGAATTGTTGATATCATTGGTTATTCTAGCTTAGCTTGCTCTTCAACTGAAGACACATATTCTGATGAGGTAAACTATACTGTGCAGACTATGGGTTGTGTCTTTATGCAATAAGAAATATAGTGCAAGCTGAAAACTTACCTTGAAGACAAGCCCCCCCTTAAAGTGCATGAGGGGAGCTGCATGGCTCCCGTTTTCCCTTGTTGTTATTAAATACAAGAAGAATAGAGGAATGATCTTTTCACTGCACCTCTCAGCCACAGGCAAACCTATTCTTGTATGAATAAATAATTTCAGTAAAATAAATGCACACACATCAATCAGAGGTCAAACAAAGCAGCAACCTCAAGAGTTAAATAATGAAAACAATGCAGTGTGAAAAAAACTGCAATTCCTCGAGTGTCCGCATGTGGCTGGCTCAAGGATCCCCTGAAGTCCCGTACACATCCCATATTAAAATGTGTGTTTTGACAGCAGAAATTAGGTTTACAGCCCGGTACAAAAAAAACGATTTTGGTGTGAGTAGCTCATGTCTTTATCGGCACACACTGGGGGTAAAAAAAAAAAAAGTGTCACTCGTCTATAACCTGTTTTATTTTATGTAGGATGCGAGTTGGCAGGAGGCTGAAGGCCCGCCTCAGCTCCAGCTCTGTCGTTGACCGAAAGTTTGGCTAAGTCAGAATTTCCAATATAGCAATCGCCATGGAAGGGCATCCAAAACAGCCCTTCAGAAACCAAAGGGTGAGGTCACTCAGGCTTCTTTATTGTTTACAGTCTATTGTCAAAACGTCACTAAATTTGGCTCATTTAACAAAAGCCAAAATATTTCCAAATTAAGAGCCGTTAGGGAGCCGAGAGAGCTGGCTGTCATTACTGAGCCAAATGATCCAGATCACTAAAAAGAGCAGGAATTCCCCTCACTTATATTTTGTGTGTTAGACTGAAATCTTAGGAGAAAAGTTATCTTCGGTAACGGTTTAAGGATGATCATATATTTTGTGTTTTTATGTGTTATTTCCTCATTATTTCTTGAAGATGTTAGGGTGAGGGTTCAGACTATTTTAAATGTGCTCTTTCAAATAATCATGGTCTGTGTGAAGTAAAAGAAACAAATACAAGACATGGATGTTTAGATGGATGCTACCGTCCTGCTTGTGTGCAGCATGCAGTCAAAGCGTCAGTAGTGGAATCTGACTTTAAGCAGCGATGGGAGATCAGATAATAAATTATAAATGACACATGACTGTAACGGTGATAGTTGCCGTGCCTTCACGCGGGGGTGAACCTCAGGGCGCACACAGTCAGCCAGAACAGACTGATCACCCATGTAATGTGTCGCTGTAAAAGCAGCAGCCAAGCTGTCTCACTCTGACCGATTGGCCCTGCCACACACACACAAACACGCACGCACACGCACACACACACACTCGCACGCACACACACACACACACACACACACACACACGACCTGACGTTATTGCACGTCGTAAAAAACATGAGTCCAAATGCGGAGTGAGGATGTGGTGAGATGAGCGCCTCCTCTGCTCCGTGTTTACTTTACATGCGGCGGAGGGATAACCTTGCGTGCATGTGTGCGTGCATGCAGGTTTGTGTATGTGTGTGTGTGTGCGCGCGCGCTTGTTTCCCCCGCCCGTCTGCTGCTGACCCAAGTTTGAACTCTCTGAGAGAGATATCATTTTTTTATAACATTCATGCAGAGGTTAAAGTCTTTTTAAAGATTAGGAGGAGGTTCAACCTGAAAACACACTGATGGAAACTGAGTCAACAAGAGGACAGCGGAGTGATTCTCATCAATCCATCTCTCATATTTTTGTTGAAACATCATAAAGACGTCAGGCTCGTATAGGACGCATCAATCAAACAATAAAAAGTGTGACCGCATGCAGTTGCTTCCTGCTAAATAAAATCAGGTAACTTAAGATTTGGGGTAAACTTTGAATGGCACCGGAGAGTCCCACGCGGAGAGGGATTAAGACATTCCTCGAGCCTCTTTTCCATGTTTTTAAGCAGCTGAAAATGTGCTGCTTAAAAGCTTTTTGCTCTTGAATGCAGGCCGCCCTGCAGGCATGATTGCTGATCCTACAAGCGGGGCTTAAGCCGAGCTAATGAGTGTGTAAACTAGCTGCCTGATTGCCAACAAAGGCGTCTTGGGCCGCGCTTCCATTGTCTCGCAGGGAATCATCACCTTTTCTCAGTGAAATCCGCCGCGGATTGTCTGAGTGCAACAGGAGGTAGGGATTAAAGATGCGGCCCTTGGAACAAATGGTGAGGCGAGTCAGCGCAGTACAGGCCGGAGGAGGAGCCCAGCGACACCCACAATTAAAGATGAACTTTGAGTGAACTAATTTATCTGAGGGAGGAGAAGGTAACAGGCTGACCCGCGTTCCCAGCAGCCTATAAAAGCGCAGGATGAGCAGCCTGGGTCCTCCGTCGCTGACAGAGCTTCACCTGCGCTACTCCACTTCTCCTACTGCAAACATGGCTCTGAGCACGCTGCTGGCCACCTTCCTCTGCACAATCGTGCTGCCCATTCTGCTCTTTTTGGTGGCGTTGAAGCTGTGGGAGGTTTACATGATCCGAGGCAGAGACCCGAGCTGCTCTCGCCCGCTGCCCCCCGGATCCATGGGCTTACCTTTCATTGGAGAGACTCTGCAGCTTATCCTGCAGGTAAGCTCATCAAACAGCTGCTCAAGTTTGCTTTCACATCACAGATATCCACTTAAGATGCTCCAGGCGCTTAGAGGAAATATTTAAACTTTTTGCATGGATTTTTACTTTTCTTTGGTATCACAAAAAGTAGGCTACTTTCTGCACCCACTACTCTTAAATCACGAGACAGTTTTTACGCACTATGGATCGTCTGTAAATGCATCATCGTCGTTGTTTCATTTTTAACTTATTGATTGTGCATGTGTGTAGTGGGATGTATGATCTGTGAATGTTTATTGATCGTTGGTATATGGTGTCTCTGTTTGCAGAGGAGAAAGTTCCTGCGCATGAAGCGCCAGAAATACGGATACATCTACCGCACACACCTCTTCGGGAATCCCACAGTGCGCGTCACCGGAGCGGATAACGTCAGGCAGATTCTGCTGGGGGAGCACAAGCTCGTGTCCGTTCAGTGGCCGGCTTCTGTGCGCACCATCCTGGGATCGGACACCCTCTCTAACGTGCACGGAGCCCAACACAAGAGCAAGAAAAAGGTGAGTCAGAAACTTCAGAGTTATCATCTGCTGTACTCATAGTACATCATGATTTGTTAAAACATGTTTTATGAAGTGAGGAGCAGTTATTTAGTTATTTTCTTCCTCTAACTACCTGAGCTTTCTTTATTTGCATCAAGGAGCTCAACAGCTAACATGTGGACAGTTTCTCATAAATAACACAACTGAGCCAATATTTAGCCACAGTGCCATGATCACTGGAATGCTACTAACTTTTTTGCTTAATAATTATTGACAAAGATCTGCTCGTGCATTGACAGTATTCCATCCTAAAAAAATAATAAAAACACCTTTTCAGGATTTATTTTTAGAAATGAAGAGTATTCATTTTGCTTCAGTTGCTGAAAAAGAAAAATCGACCTTATTATAGAACATTTTTTAAATAAGTGTACTTGCACTTTGAGAAGGATAAAAAAAAGTGTTTCTTTATTTAGTGCTCCAGTTTCACCTAAATATAATTTAAGATGTTTTTCTAAGTCTGACCCGCCTCCTGTTGTCCTCCAGGCCATCATGCGAGCATTCTCCAGGGAGGCTCTAGAGCTCTACATCCCCGTCATCCAGGAGGAAGTGCAGGCTGCAGTGAAGGAGTGGCTGAACAAGGACTCCTGCGTGCTGGTCTACCCAGAGATGAAGAGACTGATGTTCAGGATTGCCATGAGGATCCTCTTGGGCTTTGAGCCGGATCAGATCAAGACGGACGAGCAAGAGCTGGTGGAAGCTTTTGAAGAAATGATCAAAAATCTGTTCTCTCTGCCCATCGACGTGCCCTTCAGCGGACTGTATAGGGTAAGAGAGGAAAACACAATCCTTGTGCATTGCTTTCTTATTGAAGTTTAAAACGTGCAAAAAATCTGAAAATAACCACGAGGAGAAATGCTAAAATGCATGATGATTAGTTCTAATGGATAGCTTATTAAACCTCTCTGTTCAGTGAAACCAGTATTAAGTCTCAGCATTTTTAAAAAAAGAAAGGAGGTATATTTTTAAATTTGTCCATTTTGAAAATTAAGTCAAAGTGCTGTTTGTTTATTTTTAATATACATTTTGAAAACTTGACCTTTTGACAAACAAAGCTCTTGATAGAAAGATGCACGCTAAAATAAAAAGCCAAAGCAGTTTGAAGGCTGCCTTTTAAGTAGGATGCAATAATTACATGAATAGACTACAGACTAAGGTCAAATCCTCTTTATTAAGCAAACAAATAGATTATCTGTGTCCATATGATGAATATAAGCGTCATCTTCTAATGTTTCATTACTCCTCTCCCCCCTTCTTTCCACCTCTCCTCCTCCTCCTCCTCCTCCTCCTCCCCATGCTTTCTTTCTGTCCTCCAGGGTTTGAAGGCGAGAAACTTCATCCACTCCAAGATCGAGGAGAACATCAAGAAGAAGCTGCAGGACTCGGACAAAGAACCCAAACACAGAGACGCTCTGCAGCAGCTCATAGACAGCAACAAGAAGAACGGTGAACCAATCAGCATGCAGGTACTGAGATGATCACATTAACTTTGTCAGACTGCCAAGTACAGTAAAAACCTCTTCTGATTTTCTGACGGCTGGTTCTGGACTCACTCTGTGTCTTCATCTCTGTTTCCAGGCCATTAATGAGTCTGCCACCGAGCTGCTGTTTGGAGGCCATGAAACCACAGCTAGCACCGCCACTTCTCTGGTCATGTTCCTGGGCCTGAACCCGGACGTTGTGGATAAACTGAGGCAGGAACTAGTGGAAAAGGTAATTAACACCATGCAACTTCCAGTATGATAAAATACCAACATTCAGGGATTTTGCTTGCAGTTTTTCAGTGTGCAGGAGTTTGCCTGATAGTTTTGGTTATTAAAAACAAGAAATGACCAAACATTGTCTGCCTAGGACTTCTCTTTTTGTTGCCACGGTGTCAATTTAGTTTGATATTTATTAGTTTACTATCCCAGTTCAAATCTGATATCATGACAACCCGAGTACTCATGAAAACTTTCATCTAGTATTTTAGCCTGAATCAGACTTTACTAATGCTCTGCTAATATTTACTGTAACATATTGTTGGTGTTGTATCAGCATGCACAGCAGCATTAGTGTAATGTGTGCTTTCCTAGAGAGAGTTTGTCACATTTAAGCTTTCTTGGTAAAGCTCATTAGAGTCCGACGTGTTAAACCCTGATCAGGATAATAAGACTTGTCTGAATCCAGGATAGGCAAACAGGGCTAACAAGCTAATCTAAAGTAAACAAGTTCATTATGGATAGATACTTCTCAGATATTTCTGGAATACAAGTCACCTTTTTGAAACAAGATGATTATCCTATTCCTCCCCAATGATCACTCAGCTCTGGTTGATGCTTTTCCTAACATTTTATTCTTGACTGTCTATAGGAGGAGCAGGGGATGGACCTCCACAGTTTGAACATTGAGTCTTTGGAGCAGTTGAAATACACCGGCTGTGTCATCAAAGAGACTCTGAGGATCAACCCTCCCGTTCCCGGAGGCTTCAGAGTGGCTCTCAAGACTTTTGAGCTCAATGTAAGTTCACAAAGATCTCTCTGAACTATATAGAACTGTGTTTCTTAGCTTGCAGATATACTACTGAAACAAACAGTCTCCTTACTGAGTATTTCCTTTCACCACTTCAGGGTTACCAAATCCCAAAGGGCTGGAACGTCATCTATAGCATCTGTGACACCCATGATGTGGCAGACATCTTCCCCAACAAGGAAGACTTCCAGCCGGAGCGCTTCATGACCAAACCCTCCAGCGACTCGTCCAGGTTCCAGTACATCCCGTTTGGCGGGGGCTCCAGGATGTGTGTGGGGAAGGAGTTTGCCAAGGTCCTGTTGAAGATCTTCCTGGTAGAAGTGGTCACAAAGTGTCACTGGACTCTTTTAAACGGGCCGCCCACCATGAAAACAGCACCTACCGTCTATCCTGTGGACAATCTGCCAACCAAGTTTACCAGTTATGCACAAAATTAAATCCTAGATAAGAGCGTAGAGTGAAATATGAGGTTTCCCAAAAGTCTGAAATCATCTGTGCTGCAGTATAATCAACTTACTTTGGGGAGTTTTGAAGCACTCGGATTCTTTTAGGAAATAGATCAAAGACTCGAGATTTAAATAGAAAATGAGGCTGTGAGTTTCAGACTTGTCAATGTGACTCATTTGGTATAAATTGTAAATATTGTAGATTCTTTATCTTTGTACATTGAGATGTTAATACATTGTATGTTTTGTATGAACAAACTAAACGAGAGGCACTATACTCAGACAGGAACACTTTAATCAACTCAGAGGTGTATCTATAGGAGTGTGTACATATGTAATGTAGAGGCTGTTTATATAACTTTTCTATTTTACCCAAACTTATTTATGTGACATATGTTATATTGTATGAGCTTTTTATTTAATAAAGCTGTTTTATGGAAAATATATATTTTGTCGATTTTTAACCGTCATTTATTGAGGGAAAAAATGTAAATGATTGAAGAGTAAACTCTTGTTTTTTTTACTGTGGGTGTGACTGGAAACTGTGCAAACAAAACTGGAGTGAGGCTAGCCTAGCTTAGCATAAAGTCTTGTAGTAAAGGGGAAACAACCAACCTGGGTCTGCTTGTAGTTCAAAATGACAACAATATTTTACTACAAAACACTTTGAAAAGTTCTTCTTCATCTTAGCTTGAGAGACTGTGACATAAAGAAAAATCAGATGTAAATGAGGAGATGTGTGTTGTGTCCGGTCCTCTCATACACTGAGTTTATCCCCGTCAAATAACGTACATTAGCTGTTTTTAGATATCAATCCGCTTGTTGCATTTGGGTCGCATTGGGGTTTGAGCCAATCCCAGTTGTCATTGGGCCTCAATCCCAGGGCCCCCAGTAGTCCACAGACTACCAGTGTTTTCACATGCTGTAGTTCAGTTGGTAGAGACGTTGTCTCTCGACCTGAAGGTTGAGGGTTTGATCCAAAACTCCTGCAGCCACATGTCTGATGTGTCATTGGACAAGACACTAAACTCCGAGTTGTTCCTTCTACTTCTTAGACAGCGAAGAATGTGATTAGCTCAAATTGATGGTCACTTTACAGAGCAGCCTCTGCCATTAGTGTGTGAGCGGCAGTGAATGTGTAGGTGTGACATGCGGTGTAAAAGCTATTTGAGCATTCAGAAGACGAGAAAAGCGCTGTACTGTACAAGCTCAAGTCCACTTACCATTTATGTATGCACACCTGAAACGTTCTAGAACATTTTTGGCAGAAAGTCCCGGACATTTTCCAGTGTTTTCTATTTCACACATGTCCCTCACTCACAGCCTGAAGTTAGATTTTCCTGTCAGACGAGGAGGGACCGGGTTTCAAGTTTTAAGAGAATCCATAAAAAAAACAGAGACGCTGCAGAAATCCAAGCAGGCAGACGAAGCATCACAGGCCGTCTCCCCTTTGTAAAATGTCCATGTGAAGTTGAGATGAGCTGATGTCTAAAAGCTGCAGCTAAAAGTTAGGAAACCTCACTGTGAGCGAGTGGGGGTGAGGATGTTTATATCAGTGCAATGGTCTTGGAGGTAATGAAACAGCTTCCTATTCTTTTCTCCTCGCCATTCTACTCTTTTCTAAACATTTGTTAGTTTGTATTGTAGTAAACGTCTAAAATCTGCATGCATAAAAACAGTTTTACTTTCAAAGAGCCACGGAATCCAGCTCAGTTTAATTGTGATTAAATAGGATTAAAGCTCCTGTGAGGAGAATTAATCTGGTAATGAAACAGACTGAAATCAATAGTGGTAACGCTTTATGACAGACAAAACCAAATGAGATCCTCAGTGAAAAGATTCATAGTTTTTAAATCGTTTTTAATAACTGAACCGACTGTGCAGGGTAGGTGTCAGACGAAGTGATTAACTGCAGATTGCAGACACCATATTTCAAATTTCCAACTGCAGAGAATTTGAGTGAAACATTAAATTATTAAACATGTTGATCTGAAATCACAAACTGACAATCCAACAAACGCTGAATTTATTAGAAACTAATGTTTTTAATGATGTCATTGTTAATGTGTGTGGCTGAAAAAGAAAGAAAAACTCTTTACACCAGGTAAAATATGTTGATAACAGTTAATGTATTTACTCTGTACAAAGTGTGGGTGGTCCACTAACACCGAACACACACACATTCCTTCATCCTTACTAAATCAATAAGTTGTGAGGAGAAAAGGAAAATAGGAGAGAAATCTGGAAAGCATAGAGGGAGGGAAAGCAGCGGAGAGGGCTGATGACCGTGGCAGATGAACAGACAGAGGGTGAAACAGAGTTCATTCTGATCAGTTCAGTTTCAGGGCACTGAACCCGCACAGACATCCAGCGCAGCGCTGGAACTGGGCCAGAAGCATGGATTCAAGTTAGTTGCAGGGTCAGAGATAAGATGATTCCTCACATAAAGGATAGTAAAATGTTAATGGATTACTTTCTTACAGCAGTTAAAGGGTAATTCTGGTATTTTTAAACCTTGGCCCTCAAAAGTTATTTTTACATTTTCTGGGTTTTTATAGGTAAGTTTTGGAGTCGCTTCCCCAAAGCGAGCTGTAACCATAAAAGCCTGATCACCTAGGGTGCAATGCGCCTGCTGTTATCCTTGGGCTTTTTTGTTTTGTTTTTTGTTTTTGTGACTGATCACATATTTGGTGGCTTTTTCAAACCTGAAATGTCATGAAACTTGGTACATGCATCAGGTCTGTTGAAAAATTTGACATGGGCCTGACAAATTGGCTCCATGGCATCACCCACAAAATTACAAAACAGGGTCCACATTGGGCTTACGTTCAGCTACATGAAAGAAGTTTTGTAAGGTGTATCTGTCATGCTGAGACTTTAATAAAAGCCTCTTAACATTGTGCAGCAATCCCTACAGGAAGTAGTAAAAATCTGGGGTCATTTTAAGATTAACTCCTCCTGGGGCGTTTATGAAATTCAGCTCAAATTTGGTTTACAGTTTACAGAAGGGACCTTAATGCAGAAATGTATTTGGCTTGTGTACAAAACCTAAACAGCATTGCCATCGCACGCCCTAAACTTGCATGTTTTGCAACAAAACAGGAAGTATTTTTTTATTTTGCTGTAGATGCTCCATTTTGACCCAAACTTTAAATATATAACAAGGGTCGTGGTCTTAAAGATAGTCAGTGGTGTATTTCCACACAAAAAAACAAATAGACTTCTACAAAAGTAATGTTGCTCAATCATCAGTGGTGTGGTGGTGACTGTCTCTGCAGAGACCTTGTCCTCTGCCTGGATTTTGATGTTTTGGTTTGTTCTGGTTGACTCAGGATGTTTCTGGGTGGGGAGCTGGTGTGTGTTTCTCAGCCAATGACAGTGCACAGGTGAGTTCAGGAGTGGACTATGGTGGACAGCTTATTAGAGAAAATATAATCACAGTAAGTCGAAATGCCAAGCTGATAAAGCTCGTTCTGAAATGAGTCAAACCGGCAATTAGCTTGTGCTAGCGTGAGGTAGCGTGCAGTGTAGGTATAAGCAGTTAATGTACACACTACGTCCACTTACTGGGTCCCAGTTTGAATGTTGTGTTTACAAGCTTCACCCAAAAAAGCTACTGACTCTACATTTCACACCTTCATATGTACTGTAGCCACATGGGAACATGGGCAGTCTTTATACACCTTGTAAAGAAACCCATGGTCAATACTAAAGAAAATCATACAAACCTTTGATGCAAACAATTTGTACTTTGCAATAATGTCCAGGACATTGAATACAAGATTTGTCAGATGGTTTTTGGGTACTCTGAGGACTGACGCACTGCCTACATAAAACACAACTATACAAGACGTGGACCATCATAAACAAGTCAAACAACTACATAGTGACGACCAGTGTGTGGCCGGGTTAGTATACACTTTTTTATTAACTGTTTAATGTTTGTTACAACAATGTAAACCATGATAAGTACAGCTTTTTCATGTCTATCTGCTCTTGCCTCCGCTGTTTTTCTACCACCACATTAAACTCACAAAAGCTGTGATGTAATCGTGACATCTAACTCTAAACTGGTCCATAGCCCCCTTTAAACATAGCTTCTCTGGTTACCCTGGAAGTGATTGACAACAAATGTCCCCGAGGATTGTGAGTCTATTTATTAATATGAGAGTTTTGTCTTACACTTTTAGAAAGTCTCTCCTGACTCTGTAAATGAGAGCCACAGTTTCTGCAGGCTGAAGGCAGCTTTACTGGCAGATGTGCTTTGGCCTCTTTCACAACTTGTTTCTCTTTCTGGAGCCGTTCTGATTTACACCCAGCCCTCCTCAACTCCACGTCGGCTTCTTAGCATTGTGCTGTTGTCCCTGGCTCTTGTTTATTACTGTGCTGCTTGCAATTATTGGATCCACAAATGCTTAACTGTGGTAGCTACTTATTGTAACTCATTGTTGATAAGGGTTTCAGCTAAATGGCCAAATTGTGAGAGTAAATTGTAGCTGACACCTTTATGTCTGACCATCCTATCCCTGCTGGTCCGGCCCTCGAACGATGTGAATGAACTTTTATGAACTTTGCCTCTTCTCCTCATTCTAAAGAGCGTCTGCTTCCCTCCATTGTTCCCCATCACCCAGCGGAGACAAAACTTTGTACGGCCAAGGCCATTTCCAGCTAAATTTGTGACCATTGTGGTAAATTTACAACGGTGTTAAAAGAGAATTGAAACTAGCCTGCTTTCAGTTAGATCCTCAGGCCTGAACATGGCCCAATGTAAATCAATGTTATAGCTATTGAAGGAGTGTTATTGAAGGCAGCACTTTCAAACACAGAACCGCTTGGTTGCCATGAACAGTACATGAGAGAGGTGAGAGAAGGAGACCTCCACTGAAATGTAAGCAGAGAGAAAGAGGGGAACAAAATCTGGTCTGCTTTTCAAGTTTGATCTGTGTTTAGTTCTAAATTTTTAAATATAACAGGGCATTGTGTTTTTACCACTGTACACATTTCCAAGTTATTTACCATTAGTTATATTTAACACAAGTTAGTATAAATTGTTGTATTGGCACAAAGATTTGAAAGGAAGGTTGCAGAAGCCTTAGATTTGTCCAAGTAGTCGTATAGTACACAATAATCAGAAATACTTTATTAATCCCAGATGGACATTTGGGACACTCAAATGATACTACTAACAACTATTAAACATTAATATGACCCTTGTTATTTTGTTAATAGACTGAGTTTGGTCTCTTGTTCTATTTCAATACAATGACGTCAGATTCTTGTGGTATGAAACCTTTAGGAAAATATCTCTGTGAACCATTTTACCCAATGAGATAATTGATTTTATCTCGGCACATTTCTTCTAGTTTAGCAGAAAGGATGAGTGTGAGAGGATATTGAAATGTAGTAATATTAAGTTTATGGAACTGCTTGAAGGGCCCTGCAGGAG